TGATTGTCTTTTTTGAGGATGAACAATATGCTAAATGGATGGCTGCTTTTCGTCTTGCATCTAAAGGTCGATCAATTGGTGAATCATCTTATGAAACTGAACGTGAATCAATTTTAGCTTTACTTAATATGCAACGACCATCATCATCATCATCATCATCATCATCATCAAATCATCAACAAACAAAATTTGATATTCAACCAGAAAATTTTGTATCAGCTAAATTTGTTAAAAAATATAAAACAAAACAGGTTAGTTTGAATTTTTCATACATAATTAACTAATTAAACATCAATAGAAATGTTTTTTTTTGGAAATATTCAGAGTGATTGATTCGATTTAATATCTATGAATCATCGCTAAAGGCATTTCCATATAGAATAATGCATTTCGAAGGCATGATATATTAAAAGGTCTTTCTAATCATGTCAGATACGATGCATACAAGATTTTTTTTGAAATAATTACCTTTTTTAATGAATAACTAAGTCGTATATAGAATAAAAGGCCTGTTAGTACAAACTTTATGAGATAAAAATATGAAACATGATTCTACTGTTATACCTCAACACTTTTTTCAGATTATATTTCATTAAACAAAAAAACCTATCAAGTACTTATTCAAATGTTGCTCTAATCAAATAGAGATTATATTGCTTGTAAATAAATGAATGTGATTGTTATAGAAGCAATATAATCAAATCAATAAGGCTTTTTTTTCTTGAATTAATCTAGTTCATTGATTAGAAAGAAAACGATCTGTTTTATTCACTATTGAAACATAGAAGTCTATACAGACTAAAAGAAATCAATAAAGATAATAAAAGAGGTAATTTGAATAAATCTCTTCTATTTGAAATAAGCTTAATATAAAACAAAGTATTTGACGTCATACATCTTGTTTTTTTCCTCAACTGCGCAATAATCAAGAATAAATGTGAGAATTTCGATGATTCTCGACAACGAAAAAAAGATATGTGATAGATAATGACGATGATGAAAGAGATAATCCAGCGGAAAAGACAACAAAAAAGAAAAATAAGAAGAGGAAGAAAAAAACAAGACATACACAAACAAACACATATGCGCATACAAATCAAGCATATGAGTGTTTCGTACTAAAATGTTCTCTAGTGGTGTTTTTGTCTAATATTATTGATAATATCGCTACGTTCTTGATGACCTTAGCATTGATAGATGCTATTTTAGAGCATTGATTGACACGGGAAGAGATAGTAAATTTCTATTTTTTTTTCATCATACATAGTGTATACATTGAAGTACAATAGCTATTCTTTGGTACAGTCAGAAGCATGTGATTATATTTGTAATAATCATCAGATCTAAGATTTGAAAAAACTCTCCTTTGAAATGAAACAGTATCGAATTATTTATAAACAGAAAGAGAAAATTTATAAAATTTTGGCTGTTTATATTAATCTGAATGAATTTCTTGATTGAAGAATAATCAAATAAGCATTTCGAAGGATTCAAAAAAGAAATAAGTTTTGTTGATGAATGTATATATATATATATCAATCTATTTATTGTAAAATCTGAAAACTATCATAGTGTAACTCACCATCAAATGAATGAATTTAAAATGTTAGCTACACATGACAAAGGTTATTCTATATATGGTAAATAATTGTTTGTATAGTTCTTAAAATTCACATCCTGAAAAATTTGATGATTGTATACAAAAATGAATAAGAATAACTTTGCCATGAGCAGCTTATATTTTAATTTGTTAGTTTGACAATGAGAATGATCATTTGATGCGAATCAACATGGTTCATCATTTTAATCTATAGTACGAAAAATTCCATTGTTAATATCGATCTGAACTGCCATAGTTGAATAATTACATTTGTTCGACAAGTATTCACAAGATACTGTGTACAAACCTCAGTATTACCAGCCATGGAGTGAGCCTGCACAAATCACTAACGACTATTTGTCTCGAATCATCCGTCCGATAGTATACTATGTTAAGATTTCGCGCTATTGAATCTGTTGCTAAACTCAACACTCTTTACCGCAAGGTAACTGAAACCTAGGGGTATTCTTTCTAATATCGATGTCTTCTTCGCATTGATTGACTTTTTTTTATTTATCTGAATGAAGACGGTTGTAACACAAAAAGAAAAAAAAATGATATTTTCTATTTTAGTTAACTGAACGAATCCTTGAAGCTCATGCAACTGTTAGTAATTTAGATGGTATAGAAGCTAAATTACGTTATTTAAAAGCATGGCAAGCTTTACCTGAATTTGGTATAACAACATTTATTGTTAAATTTAAAGATTCAAATAAAAAAGAAGTAAAAGAAAAAACGAATTTTTTTCTTTATATATTTTATTTTCTTCATATATAGGAATTACTTGGTATTGCTTCAAATCGTCTTTTACGTATGACATTAACAGGTGATACATTAAAAACGTGGTGGATATCTCGAATGCATTCATGGAATGTTAATTGGGAAAATAAATTAGTAACAATTGAATTTGATGGTGAAATAATACATTTTTTACCATTATATGGTATTGAAAGTAAATGTATACATGAATTTATTGGTGCATACATTTTTTTGGCTATGCGATTAACAACAACAACAATGTCTGATAATAATGATCCACTTCAACAAGAAACACTTTTCCAACGACTTACTGCTGCTTATAGTTAGATGGATGTTGTTTTTTTGTTTTTTTTTCATTTGTTTTTTATTTCAATGCTAATGTCATTTATCTGATCTAGTTGTTTTTTCTCTCAGCATGTTTTTGAAGTCTTGTTTTTTTTTTTCGTTTCGAATATGTCAAGATAATTTTTCTTTTTAATCATTTCTTTTATTATAAATTTTGATAGTTTAGTGTTCATTATTGCTCTTTTTTTTTTGATGTATAATCGAATCGATTTCTATTATGTATCAATCATTTGTGTAGAATATGTTTTAGATTTTTATTTAATATGATCTGATCAATTGTATATGGTTATCATGTTTGTATCGATTTCAATCAATCAAATGAATCTTGAACATAATAAAATTCATGTTTCATATGATTAAAATATTGGTATGTTCTGAGAATATAATTGAAGTATTTATTCGTTGTATATGTAACGAAAAATATTATAAATAATTTTTCTTAAAAAACAGAGCAGTTCATCTTAAGTTGTGAATGATGAGTAATATATATATATAGGATGATTTTCTAATCTAAAAATCCAAATTAATCCGACATTTTGTTTTCGAAATAAGTTTGAATAGCTGGTGTTTTTCTTCCAAAAACTTTTCTAATAAATATTATTTAAAAAAGATTTATTTTTATTTAGAAAATAACCAAACTTAATTTTCAAACGGCAAGTTTATCTAACGAATAAATTTCATAACAGGTAGATTAACTAAATTGATGTAATTAAGAAAAATTTCTAGTTTTATACTTTTGGATTATTCATTTCTTGTAATAATTTATTTCGATCATTCCAAAATTTATGTATTCCAACAAGTAAAATACTTGTTGTAACTAATATTGAACCAAGTATAACTAGCCAATTTGATTTTTCATTTGCAACTAAATTTTGAAGTATAATAGCAAATAATATATCGGATGATTGTACAACAGAAATAATTGATGGATGTTCAAGTTTAATTGCTTTTTGTGTTACTGTTGAAGAAAATAATTGTATTAAGGAAACAAATGCAGCTAGAAAAAATTGCCAAGTAAACATTGAATGATTTGAATACTTATGAAGAATAAAACGATTACGTATATGATTAATAATAAGTATAGATAAACTTAAAAATGAAAAATGAAACATAAGAATACTTTGAGGAAATTTTAATACTAATAATTTTTTATTAAGTACAATATTAGCGGATATTGCTAATGCACAAGCAAGTGCAAGACAAAGTCCTAGAAATCGATAAGATTTATTAGATTCCAAATTAATATTATTGAGATTATTATTTATAGTTTCATTTATATCAGATAATTGTTGATAATTACCAAATAAAAATGTCGGTTGTGCAACACATACAACACCAATTAATGTTAATATAGTAGCTAATACAATTGGTATTGATATACGTTCATGTAAAATAATCATAGCTAGAATTGTTGTCCAAATAACTTGTGTATATCGAAATGTTGTTAAATCTGGTAATGGAATATAACGATAACTTAAAAAGAAGAGAAATAAACCGCTTGAAGCTAAAATTGTACGAATAATTTGTAGAAGAATTAAATTAAATGAACCACGTAGTATTTTATATCGTTTGTAAATGATAAACAAACTAAGAATAAATGTTTGTACAATAAATCGACAAAGTAATGCATCAAAAAAATCCACACGTAATTGTTTTATTATAAAACCAGAACATGTAAAAAGAGATGAACCAAGAAGTGCATAAAACATTCCTTTACATCGATGAGTTGTTTGAGAAAATGAATTTGTTTCATTCGGTCGATGAGAATGAATACTTAAAATTGATGAAAATTTTCTTTCAAGGTTATTTAATTTTCCATCATTATTTTCATTGACTTCTAATTCATCTGCATCGATTAATGGTTCAATTAATGGATCAATACCTTGAATAATATTCTCATTGATTGAGACTTTTCTGCTTGTTAGGATAGGATCAACAGGCGCATTTTCGTCTTTAACATACACGTCTTGTTTCATGATATAATCAATTCTCTATGTTGCTTTCTTTTTCCTTCAGCATAATACTATTAAGATTTTTTTCTCTCTCGTTCTTGTTTTTTTCTGCGAGCACTGGGCACAAAAAAACCAGCATCTGCTACCAGACCAATAAATATACTTTCTTTTCTTTCTTTTCTTCAATGTTTGCACTCTCGGTATTTTTTGAACTATGAAAATAGTCATGTTGTCAGTGCATGCATTTTTGATGGATGCCGACAACAAAGATAATCGGTTTTTTTTTCCGATATAAAATTTATTTAAATTATGTAAGCTAGAATGATAATAATAAAAATTATTTATTAATTTTTTGTTTCAACTTTAAGTACATTTTCTTGTGTTGACGCAGGTATATAAGTACGACTTTGTCGATCTAACCAAAGTTTATGCCCACCAACAATAAAAATACTAGTAAGAACAAGTATTGATCCAATTAATGCAAGTAAATTAGTTTTAATTGATGAAAATATATTTTGAAGTATAATAGCAAAAAGTATATCAGATGATTGTACAACAGTAACAATTGATGGATGTTCACGTTTAAGTGATTTTTGTGCTAATATCATTGGAAATAGTTGGAATATAGAAATAATTGTTGCAAATATATAATCTTTTTTAAAAAGAATTATTTTAAAATTAAATCTTTTATGTTTCGATTTCGAAAAATTCCAATAATAAATTTGAATTATAATACATACAATAAGTGTTATAAATAAAAAATAAAACATTATTATACTTTGTCGAACATTTTTTAGAATTAATTTTTTATTTAAAGCAATACTCATTGAAATTGATATTGCACATAAAAGTGCAAATAACATACCAGTTAAATGATTATTATTATTATTATTATTATTATTGTTAAGTGTTGATATATTTTGTAAAGTTTCATTTTGTATTTTTGATTGTGGAAAAAGAAATGTTGGTTGAGCTACACATACAACACCACCAAGTGTTAATATACATGCTATGATAGTTGGTAAATTAATACGTTCATGAAATATGAATACAGCAAGAACTGCTGTCCAAACAACTTGTGTATATCGAATTGTTGTTACATCAGGTAGAGGAAGAATAGACAAACTAAGATAAAAAGATATACTACCGGCAGCAGCAAAAAGAGAACGTATAAATATTAGTAATCCATTAGAATCATGACATGGACGATAACCTTTATAAATAATAAAGCCAAGTGATAGTAATGCTTGAACAAACAATCGAATCATAAAAGCATTAAGTAGAACAATATCAAGTTGTTTTAATGCAAAATTTGAACATGTAAATAATAATGATGCAACTAAAGCATACAAAATACCCGAAAAACGTTCCGTATAAGTGAAACATCTTACAAGAGGATTTAATTTCTTTTCATCACTAGGTTTTTCCTCATTTTCATGTATTTGAATATCAGGTACATAGAAAATTGATGATCGTCGACGAACATACACTGGTGCACCATCTTGATCATTAATCGATTGAACTAATGGATCAAGACCAGCTGCAGCTTCCTGTGGAGTTGGTGATATTGAATCAATTGTATACGAACGTTGCCTCCTTTCCATCAACTTTTCGTTTTATGTTTTGATCTTTACGACTATTACACTTATATACATAGACATATGCGCAGGTTTTAATCTATGATTATACCTTTTTAGTCTTAGTTATCAAAATGCCAATTGATAATGCGCAAATAACGTGGATAGAACAACAAAAAAAAATAGTTGCAATTGTTTATGCATAGAATATCAATAAATCAAATTAATATTCATCTGAATGTCACTTTAGTTTGAATTATAAATAAAAAAGATTTGAGAATTTTTTTTTCTTGGTTTTTTTCAATACACAAATATCTGCTGAGTCTATTTGATTATTTTTAATTTTTCTAGATAGTTCAATTTTTCTCGTATGTTATTGAATGAAAATTTATAATTGATGTTTATTATTTCAAAACATGAAGAATAGTTTCTATACAGATGAGCAACGATCAAAACGAAACTACATCGGTATGAAGAAAAAAACAAAATAATATCAAGAATTCATTTTTAAAACTATTTTTTTCATTTTTATTTCTTTAAATCCAGCTTTCTAATACGCAAAAAGTTATAACTTCATTAATTGCTGGTGCTTTTGCAGGTAAAATAAATAAGAAAAATTCAAGAGAAAAGTTAATTTTAATTTGATTATTGACTTAAATTTTTTTTTTCTTTTTAAGGTGCTACAGCTAAAACAATAATTGCGCCATTTGATCGAGCTAAAATTAATTTTCAAGGTTAAAAACTTGTCGAAAAATAAAAACTATTCTAAATGAAATTTTCTTTTAGTTAGAAGAGATAAATTTAGTTATAGTCGTTGTTTTAAATTTATACAAGACACATATCGAAACGAAGGTTTTATTCGTTTATATCGAGGAAATTCAGCAAATTTAGCTCGTGTTATACCTGCAGCAGCCATTTATTTTACAGCTCATGAACAATGGAAACGTCTTCTTAATACAGATAAATATGAGTAAGATATCTATTAAAATTAATAATATTGTTTATTGAATTGATTAATATTTATTTCAAGAAAAACACCTGGTCGTCGATTTATTGCTGGTTCGTTAGCCGGTCTTACATCATCAACTATTGTTTATCCACTTGATTTAGCACGAGCTCGTATGGCAGTAACTAACAAAACTGTGTATGTTATTTTCAGCATTTTATTTACAAAATTCGCTAATGAAATGCCAGATTATTTTTGTCTAATTATATTCTTATTTGTCATCGAAATTTTGAATGGAAAAATGAAGATTCATCGATATGAATAATAGTCGAGAAATTCATAGTAATAGAACAAAGTTTTCAATTGAATAGAAAATTTAAAAGATATCATTTTGACATGTAAAACAAAAGTGAACGTCTACTACTTCCCTAGACATTGTGACTTTTACTAGACAGAAAAAAACAATAAAAATTTATTATTATTTCTTTAGCTCTTTCACCTTTGCGAATAAAGAATGAATCTCTAGGTATTTTCTTTTGCATATTTCTCAGCAGTCCTACAAAATTACAAGACAATTTATTTTTGATAGATTCTTTGTTTGATTCTCTACAAATGTACATCTTTCACTCAAACGAAACGGCGTACCTTATTTGTTTAGAACCAATAAAACGAATAGAATTAGAATGCACCACATACAAAATTCTTTTTTATACCAAGCTTTTCGCATTGAACTTTGTGAGTGACTTTATCAGACTTTTGCTAAATTGTATAAGAGTTCAATCAATTATCAGTCCGAAATTAGTTCTAATGAAGTCTTTAGAAGAGGATCGAAAACTTAACTATTATTGCTAATTAATAAGATGGAAAATGACACAGTTTCTTTGAAACTTTGTGCGTATGACTTTCGCTTTTGATTCCATCGAAGAGAACATTGTTTTTTTGAAAAACAAAATATATGAGTATTTCTAGTAGATGCGGAACATAATCAATATTTTCATATGAATAATTACAAGCGACAGAATGCCAAAGATGGTCATATATACAATGATAAAAAGGAATTCTACCAATTTCTATCTTACTGATTAATAATAATAGTTAAGTCTTCGATCCTTTTAAAGACTTCATTAGAATTAGTTTCAAATTGACAATTGAATAAAATTTTCTACGATTAAGAGAAAGGTTGATGATGTCACTCACAAAACTCAATGCAAAAAGCCTGATAAAAAAAAATAATTTTGAAGGTAATGTATTCGTTTCATTGGTATTAAATGAATAATGTATGCTATTGCGTTTAAGTGAAAGATGCAAATATGGAGAGAATCGAACGAGGAATCTATCAAAAAAAAATTGTCCCATTATGTTGAAAGGCTGCTGGCAAATATGCAAAGCACTGAGAGAACCTTTCTTTATGCGTCATCTATTAGTATTATTGAGTAAATTGTTACTATCGAAGGTCATTTCAGTTTTTTTCTATACTGAGAAAGTAATGCTTTACAAAAATAATGTCTCAAAGAAAAGTTCACTCATTACTACATAATCAACTATTTTAAGCAAACTTTTGCATACCTTTACTATATGAGATGTTAACTTTTACCGAGTAATCTAATAATGTAGACGTATACTACATTTAAAATAGGTTTTTTCTTGGTTCAATTTTTTCATGAGAATTAATTTTGATATAATTTCATGAAAATCTGTGGATCTAATAATTTTAATTTTGAAAACAAGTTCTAGTTCATATCTTAATTATATTAGAGAAAAATGTACTTGTTTATCGTGATTTTCAGTTTACTAATAGCATTTTGTGCCTTTTGTTTGTTGGTGTCGATTTATATTATTCATCTGCATTGATGTCTTTTTTAAAAAAACAAAACTTTATTTTGTATTACTATAAACTTGTGGACTGTTATTCGGATCGACCAATTTTCATAGATCCGTTTTAAATTGGTTTGGTAGTTTGTCAATTACATTTAATTACTTGCAATTATAAGATAGGAAAAATCTTTTTGAGTAATAAAGTAATCAATAAGACCATTGAATTACTATCTTTTTTGTTCACGTTTGACTATTTAATAGAGACTACTGTGCTACTTCGTCTTTTTCTTTTCGTTCAGTAAGTATGAGATAAAGTAATTCAGTTTTAACTAATAATACGACATGCTGAGTGGAATAATGTATTGATTAGTTAGATGTGTCTCGAACGTATTTTATGATCTTAGACTCTACTTTCAGTAATGATGATTCTTGGGCCAGACAAACTCTAAAGAATGAATGGATCATGAACGCAGGATTATGATGTTTGTTTTTTTTTGTTTATTAGTTATGCTTATTTATGACAAGAAACAGAAAAAGTTGATTTTGTATTTCAACTTCCATTATCGGACAATTTCAAATGTTTGAGACTAAAGCCAGCCGCTCGTTATACATCTAATCTGTGCTTAATAATAAATGTATCATGTAAATAAATGGCAAATCGAGATTATTTTCAGTATTTATAATGAACTATGAATTTACATAGAATCATATTTAACAGTAAATTTCATATAAAAATTCTTTTTATAATTTTTTCACATAGGTATACTAATTTATTCACCGTCTTTCGAATTATTCTACGAACTGAAGGTGTTGTAGCCTTATATCGAGGTGCACTATCATCAATGATTGGTGTATTACCTTATTCTGGTTGTGTTTTTTTTACTTATGAATCTCTCAAACATATTCGCTTAGGTAAGAAAATATAAAAAAATTTAAAAAACTTAGTTTTTATTAAAATTATTTTTCTTAAATCAAGACTATCAGTCTCATCGTCCTATTACTACAACAGAACGAATGGTATTTGGAGCTATATCTGGTCTTATTGGTCAAACTGCTTCTTATCCATTTGATGTTGTTCGACGACGATTACAAACAGCTGCCGTTATTCGACCAGATGAACGATCACTTGGTGCAATAGCAACAACACGTAAAATAATTCGTGAAGAAGGTATAACTTGTGGTCTATATAAAGGTGTAACAATGAATTGGTTGAAAGGACCTATATCTGTAGGTGTTTCATTTATGACGTATGATGTATTAATTAGATTAATTCGTCAATCATCTTTGTTTGCTCAAAATCTTTGATTGAATTCAACACTAATTTTACTTTTTTTTGCAAGACTTCCTTTTTTTTCCAATATATTATACAAGCATTTTTCCGTGTTATACTTCCGCTGATCACTCTAGTCTCACAAAGGATGCTATTTTTGTTTTGTTGTTGATAATTAATTATTTTATATTATTATTACTGTTTTTAATCAGTAAAAACTTGTCTATGTCGATAATAGTTATCATTTTCGACTTATTATTACATACTTTTAACCTATTGAAAAGGCAATTTTCGTTTTTATTTTCTTGTAATGTAGAGATGTTTGAAAAATCTATTCAATATCATCTTAATACAATCAAGAAAGAAATACATAAGAAAATTCTTTATGAATACTTTTTTTTTTTCGTTTTAGATGACAACAAATATATCATTGTCTTTTACGGATTTACCATTACTTGTACAAGAAAAAATAATAAAATCTTTTTCATATACAGAATTAAGTCGTTTACGTTCAATATCAAAACATTTTCATCGATTATGTTCAGAACAACTTAATCGAGGTTATTTTCAACTTGAAATCATTATTCATGATTTACAAAAACAAATTAAAACAAAATTACCACGACGAGAATCGGAACGACATAAAGTAAGCAGATAAAAACTAAAGATTTTATTCATTTTTGGCATGTATCGAACATAAATTCTGGCTCGCCTTTCACAGGACATGATCATCTTCGATTTGACCTTGATTTTTTATAAGGATTAGTTTTTTGAACGAATTCTTTTTCTATGAATATTTCTAAAAATATTGATTGTATCAGCTTACACCTAATTAAACTTGATTAGCGAATAGCTCTCGAATTTTGTTACGGAAAAGTCTTAGAGTTTTTTGGATAGACTTCACGCTGTAGATTATATCTTTAGTGAAGTTTTGAGTTTCTCATTCAGTCACAAGCGGATTTTTGGTTTCTATATTCGCACTTACTCATGTCGCTAAGAACAGATAAACTCCATTTTTTTGTTTTTTGAGAAATTTAAATATGTTCAGAAAAATCTTTTGTAGTATGAAAACTCTTTTATTAAATGCACGCTATGAAGTTTTTAAAAATACTGTTTGAACTTGCAGGATTTGTAAATAGAAACATACGCAGTGAAAACCTTTGTCTTGTTTTGTGTCATATCGCTAACGCTGGTTTTTCAATAAAAACTTGGCAGAATCAAAGTCTATAGGACTGAGTTTTCCTGAATATCTAGAGTAACTCAACATACATCTATTACATAAAAATTAGCTAAACGCAACATTTGAATCCAGAGATATAATTAATTATTTTTATTTTGTAAAATCACATCGCTGACGAATTAAAATTTGCTCGATATATGAATTCGATGATGTTGAGAATTATAATTTTATTTCTTTTCAAATAGTAACTAAAACATTGAATATGACTTTTTCTTTTTATTTAGCATCCTCTATCAACAAAATTTGATATAATATCTTCTCTTGATTCTCGTATTCAATGGCTTAAATTAACATTTGGTTCGGCTATACAAAATTCATACTGTTGTTTTTATCCGGGTCGAGTAAGAAAATATCTTTATTTATTTTCTAAAATTAAATATTAAATTACAATTTTAGTTACTTGATGAAATTTATTCAGTATTAGATCGTTTAAAAATACAACAATCATTTTCAAATCCATGTACACTTTTACAAGAAACACGTGATATGTCATCAATGGCAATTGAACATTTTCGTGAACAAATTAAACCAAAATTACAATCATTACGTATTACTTCATTAACAACTATTCGTAATAATGTTTCAACATTTTCAACAACTAATAATAATTCATTATCTCATTATCATAAACGATCAACAAATAGAATACTTCGTCGACAAATTGATATATTAAATAATCGAATTTATAAACAAAATTTTGTTATTAAATCTCAAAAATATCAAATGAAACATTATAAACAATTATTACATATGCGTACAAAATCTTTAATTAATCATCATAAACGTTTAAAATATCTTGAAAAAAAAAGTAAAGAATCTGAACAAATGTTACTTGAAATACGAAAAGATAATGATACATTATTACAACGACTCGATCAATTTATTTTAGCATATGATAATATATCAACTGAAATAAATAATAAAAAATCTGATGAAATATTTTCTCAAATAAATATGAGTCTAAAACGTAGAAAAATTGATTAATTATTTGTTTGTTTTTTTGTATAATATATTTATGTGCATTTAATATTTCTTTGTTTTTTGTCTTCATTTGTTTTTTTTCTCTTTCTAAGTGTATATTACATGAAATTTTTTTTTGTTACGATCAGAACAAAAAAAAGAAAGATCTGTCATTGTGTTTTTTTTTTGTTTTGAGAAATATATGTTTATTTATAAAGTATATTATCGGAAAGAGTTCAATTTTATTTTTCAATTGTGAAATCGAAAAATTAAAATTATAACTACAAAGTCAATCAATAAGGAAAATCAATGTTGAATAATCTTCTGTTTTTTTTATTTTTCATTAGAATGATTTTTCTATCTTATTCGATATTCTTAGTAGTTATAGATTAATATAACGTTTCTTTCCACCAATGTAATTCTTACAATAAAATTTCCTCCTCATATGACAATTGAGAAATCTATTTATCTAAAAATGCAAAAACCAAAAAAAGAAAAGAATTTTCTTTTCTTATTTTTGCATTTATTTATTTTAATAATTGATTTCCTTCAACAAATACTTTTATAAAGAGAGATGTTTGTCGATAATAAGTATTTGCTGCAAAATCTTTCTTTTTAACAATATGTTTTCGATATTGAATATTATTGACATTACTTGGTTTAGCTTTTTTTTTACATTTATGTTCGTGATTTGATGATCATTAATGTTAATATAATTTCTCAGATATATCTATTCTTGTAGACTTTCATTTAATCGATCATATTCATTATAAATCTTTTTTCATTATTATCAATCAAAATCTGAAAAATATTTTTAGATATGATACTCATTCGTCGACGATTACAGTTTTTTTTTCATGAAATTCGTCGTACATTAATAGCTGAACGTATTCCACAATATAAAGAACGTTCAGCTTTATTACCTGGTGGTTTAAATACACCATTTCCAATTGTTGTTGAACCCGATATTGATTTAGAATTATTATTTAAAAGTCATGAACAATTACAAGAAAATCTTCAACAAAGACATTGGATTGTTGATGTTAAAAAAGTCGAACATGATTATCAAGTTTGGAAAAACTTAAATAAACAAATAGCTGAAGCAACAGCACGACGAACACGGGTAGATAAAAACAAATTGAATTTATTTATTTATTTTCTAAATTTAGCCTGAAGAATTACATCAATGGAGTGAACAATTATATTCTCTTAATGCAAAATTTCTTGTTGCATGTTTACGTTTACCAGCACCATTACATGGTGCTGTACCTGAAACAGGAACACGAAAATTATTATATGAATATGGTAGTCAAAGAAAATCAAGTTTAACAATGAGATCATGGCGTGATTTAGCCGAAGTAACATCGCTTGATGTTGCACCATTTTCATCATTTGCATTTGGGGAATTGTATGTCAATAATAGAAATTTTCTTTTTTGTTTTTGAATTTGATTGTTTTATTTTAGTGCTCAATTAGAATATATTTTATTAAATTATTTTAATAAGAGTCTTGATGCATATAATATACAAATGTGTTCAACGGTTAATATTGTTAAATCATTTGTTATTGAAGCATTTGGTTATCATTTTTCTGATATTAAAAATGTATTTAACATTGTTGGTAAGAAAACAAAAAACCAAATGAATTGAAAAAAGGACAAGTGGCGATAAGGCCATTTTTTGTGTCCAAAAAATTTTTCAAAAAGAGTTATATATTCTAAATCAGCGCGAAATTCTGAGTCGAACGATGTACTTTTTTCTGTCGAAAGACGACTTTTTTTTCACCTGTCTTTAAGTACCTGGGGGAGGGGGAGACTCCGGAACCATCAAAAATTTTTTTTCTAATTCTATCGAATTATATCTCATTAGATGCAGAATTTTATGCTGATTCCAAATATCACCTTAAAATTTATAGACAATGAAGTTTTCTTCGAGAAAAATCTACTTTATTATAGGATGCTAATAAAGGACTACTATTTTCGGGTGCCGTTGTCAGGCGATCTAGTTATATCACTAAAAAAGCCTAAAAAATACTCATTCATGTGTGGAATTACCTTTCCAATCAGAATCATGTAAAAAAACGGTTCAAAACCAGGTTTTCAATAGTTTAAGGATCAAATACTCGAAAAAAAACAGTAAAAAACAAGATTTTTGGGCCTCCTTAACCTCATATAATAGGATAAAAGAACCTCTAACCGATGAATGACGTATATAGATCGATGCAGTTTTCCATTCTCTATCCGAATATGACTTCTAAAACAGAAGAGAAAATGTGGAACATGATTGAATATGAGAAATACTCAAATCAGAGCAGAAAAGTCAAAAAATGGGCCAGTATTTCAAGGCTATGGGCGCCAAAAACTAATTCTTGAGTAAAATGCATATGAAATTCAGAATCAGCATAAAAAGCTGCATCCAACAACATAGATTTCGTCAGAAAAACTTTTCTCGGAAAATTCGATTCCTACTCCCCCTCAGTTCTTTTCTCATGTAATTTCACCTGTACTTTCCCTCAGTCGAATTTTGATGAAAACGTTTTTCCACATAGAATCCATGTTGTTGGATGCAGCTTTTTATGCTGATTCTGAATTTCATATGCATTTTACTCAAGAATTAGTTTTTGGCGGCCATAGCCTTGAAATACTGGCCCATTTTTTGACTTTTCTGCTCTGATTTGAGTATTTCTCATATTCAATCATGTTCCATATTTTCTTTTCTGTTTTAGAAGTCATATTCGGATAGAGAATGGAAAACTGCATTGATCTATATACGTCATTCATGAGTTAGAGATTCTTTTATCCTATTATATGAGGTTAAGGAGGCCCAAAAATCTTGTTTTTTACTGTTTTTTTCGAGTAATTGATCCTTAAGCTGTTCAAAACCTGGTTTTGAACAGGTTCTTTTTACATGATTCTGATTGGAACGGTAATTCCACACATAAGTGAGTATTTTTTAGACTTTTTAGTGATATAACTAGATCGCCTGACAATGGCAACCGAAAATAGTAGTCCTCTATTAGCATCCTATAATAAAGTAGATTTTTCTCGAAGAAAACTTCATTGTCTATAAATTTTAAGGTGATATTTGGAATCAGCATAAAATTCTGCATCTAATGAGATATAATTCGATAGAATTAGAAAAAAACAATTTTGATGGTTCCGGAGTCTCCCCCCTCCCCCAGGTACTTAAAGACAAGCGAAAAAAAAGTCGTCTTTTGACAGAAAAAAGTACATCGTTCGACTCAGAATTTCACGCTGATTCAGAATATATAACTCCTTTTGAAAAATGTTTTGGACAAAAAAATGGCCTCATCGCCACTTGTAGTTTCTATATATTTTTTTTTTGTTTTGTTTATAAAAATAAAATTAGCTGAAAACGATGATGATGAAAATAATGTTGAACTTTTACATTTATTTGGAACATCAACACCACTTGGAATAGTATCACCTTTTATACGTACAAATTTTCCAAAGGATATTTTACCTTATTATGTTTATTCTATTGGACGAAATTATAATCCGCATTCAGGACAATCATCATGTATTGAATTACTCGGTAAAAAAATTATTTATTTTATTATTTGCAAAAACAAAATTGTATCGTATAAAGAAATATTCAATTCTGAAGTTTTTTGGTTCGAAAATGAAATAAAGAAGTACTTTGTATTTCTAATCATGTCTTTAGGAAGTTTAATGCATGTTTAATCATAGGTAAACCTCATGCATCATACTTTTTGAAACAACATAAAATTCAATTTAACATGATTGGAATGTAAAAGAATAATGCTACAACAAGTAGAGAATGTTTAGATTAGAAATAAGACTAAGGGGATATGGACAACAAATTTAATTTGGCTGAAATATTAATAAAACAATTTTGTTGATGCAACTTTCCAATTATTTAGTAAAATGAAATCTTTAGATTTTGATCAAAAATTGGATTTCTATAAAGATCTTGAGTAGACTAACTTGTTTAATTGAAACCTCTGTGTTGATAGTATCAGATCAAAATGAGACTGTCGGATTTTACTGGAAAATTGGAATGTTGCTGTGGAATTGTAGTAAAAGGTCGATATCTTAAACAAATTTTAACTTGTTCATACAGTTTCTCAGACTTTTCTAGTCTACACATTCTGTAATTGTGAACCAAATTTCAGTTCTATAGCTTTTTATCAAGTGACAGCGTTTCTTCATGAGTGCAGTTAAAACTTTCCAGTAATTGAATTCGATCGACAGATAGCAAAAAACCTTGGAATATATATATATATATATATATATATATTATCATTCTACAATGAAACCGAGTTTGTCCTCAATATTTTAAGACTACTAGATGGGACCATAACCAGAGAAGGATGTCTGACTGCTGAAGCATTGGTCTTGTGAAGGAAAATTTCTAAATATGAGTGTCCAATTTCAATCGGCTTTATGCCATTTTGTCGACCGTGATGAACTGATCACGATGACATAAAATTCTCTTCCTCATGGACTGCCTTTGAAGAAGAATGCATTATGCTATCGCGATCAACTCATTGAACTCTATAAAATAGCATAAAGTCGATTGAAACAGTAGAGACTCACACTCGGGGATCGTTTCATCGTTAGACAACACTTGTCTACGTGCTTATTATAAGAATTATCTATTATTTAGCATTAACTTTGATTTTCGTTAACAAAATTTATAAGATTTAAATCAATTCGAATTTATATTGAGTATTGAAACTATGATAACTAAAACAAAAACAAAAAGAAGAAATCATCCTAATAAAAAATAATTTCTTTAATATTTAATCTTTGTTTTTTTCATAGCATTCTCAAATGAACATTCACAACATTTACTTCTTGATGATCACCATAAAGCTGGTGATGAACGAGCAAAAAATTTTGAAGATATGCTTAAAAAATCTATATCAAGTTCAGGAACAATAAATCCAAATGAAGTAAATTTAAAATCAAATTCTATTGATTTTATTTATATTCAATTAGCTACTATTATAACTAGTTTTTATCATCGACTAAATTTACCATTACGTGTATGTCTTTCACCAACATATGAACTTTTATCATATGAATCATTACGTTTAACTATTGAAGTTTATCTTCCATCACAAATAGATTATGTACGTGTTGGATCTGTTTCATTAATTGATGATTATCTTGCTCGAAGACTTATGATTAAACATAATTCAGATAATAAAAGTTATGTTGCTATGATACATGCACGTGTTGCTGATGTATCACAATTATCGAAATGCGTTTTAGAAGCTTCACAAACAATTGGTAGAGGAATTAAACTACCATCAGTACTAGTAAATCGGTAAACAATGTATATAGATTAACTTATTTCTTTTCATTTTATTTTTTGAATTGTGAAAATAAAAAACAAAGAAAGTTATTCTTATTTATTTATTTTTTTCATATTTATTGTTTATTTGACATTAGATTTGGAAATTCCCATAGGCTCGGTGTTTAATTTGACATCTATTTGCTTGTGTAATTTGGTTATTTGCTTTTATTTTTCGACTTGCGCCGCATATGATGATATAGAAATGCTTAAATAAAAATTTCTCTTCATATATGAAAGAAGAAAAAAAATAATATTTATTATATAGAAGATAAGTTAATTTTAAATAAAGATCTTCGTAATAACAATATATCTTTGGTCAAAAGCAGCAAATGTTTGACTTCAAATAAATCGAAAAAAATGTAAATATATTAATAAATCGAATTATAACGAAATGTTATTGATATACGGTCTGTGGTCGCATATCAACAACGTCTGTCATATTCTGTGGAGAGGAGTGTAAATTTCTACCCTATATATTCTAATATTTCTTGTAGATAATGTTTCATAAAACCGCGTATTTCATATTTTTAAACGAGTAGTTGCATTTTTTACAATGTTTTGACTAAAACGCAAGTGAAACGTCTTTACAACATTTTTCAAATGTATCTTTCCATTGAAAAGGATAAAATACGAAGTACAATGTTCAATCATTTTTGTGTGCGGTATATGATCAGTTTTGAGTGTCACTGTATGTTAAAATATTCCGATGTGTGTTTATACATAATAAATTAGGGAAAAAGATGAATTTCATTTGAGGAGCGAAAATGTAATTTTCTTTTTCTTTTTAATATTAAAAAAAAATTTGCATTTCATATTTTTCTATATTGTTAAAAACATATTTGCTTTACAAGAAAATAATATATGATTGTTCGATAAAGACCTTTGAAGAATATAGATACAAGTTTTTCTGATCGAAGATAATTGTGATATGCTTTTACTGTAGTAGACTTGGACAATATATATATTTACATATATAATGGATGCGCCATAATGAATCGAACTAAATGAAAACACAATTTTTCTCACAATTACTATCCATAAAAAAAAATACTCATTTACATTCTAAAACATAGAAAATTTCTGGCTCTAACAACCTATGCTCTTCACTTTTAAAAATAATTTTTTTTCTTTTACATAGCAATCGAAACATTTATATACCCTGTATGTTTCAACTGAGATACATTGTCGTTCGTGCTTTTGCAAAAGCATGTATAATCATGAAAATGATCTCCAAAGCAAAGACTTTTATAGCAGAAGATAGAGAAATTTTATTCTCTATCTATCTGATCTACTTTCGAATATTTAATATTCTCTGTGGAAACTAAAAACTCTTTAGAAGTATTCTTCGCGATGATTTTATTAGAGCTTTTAAAAATTGAAGACCCTGTAAGTTAAAGTTCAATTGCACAAAAAAAACGAAGAATTATATCCTCTCAAGTAACGCATAAAAAAAATTTTTACAACTGATAGCTAAGCAATGACTAAAACATTAAGTAACGAAAATAAAAGAGATGTGAAAAATTATAACATATTTCATAACAATACTGATTACAAAGATTAAATAATGTAACTATATAAAATGACTAACATGAATACTTTGTTGAGAAAAAGAAGTGCATCATTAGTTTGTTTGTAAAACATAAATACGATAACTATTTTGCACAATAGATTTGCTTGGCTTAATCTCGTTATGAGTCGTTACTATCTCGATAATATTTACTGCAAAAATGATTGTGATTCACTATGCCATCAAGACTGGAAATGTTTCAATTTGCCATAACTAATTGATAAAACAAAATGCATAAACATAGTGAATTATAATTTGTAGCTGTTTAATCGTGAATTTTTCCATGTTTATAAATAAGAAGAAATACAAATCGAAAGTGACACTTAATCATTCATTGTATTTAACTCGTTCGTTAAAATAAATGACTGCTATTTAATAGATTTTTCAGCAAAAAAAACCATATCTTTCACTGTTCTGTGCTTATTTTTAATAGAGGGTGGACGTGAATGTCGATATTGGCGAAGAAAAGAGTCGCACGCACGTTCATATCCTCTTTGGAAAGTTTAATCTATACTTGATTGTATGTTAAACACATAAATCATGCTGTGTGAAGCTTCACAAACAATTGGTAGGGGAATTAAATTACCATCAGTATTATCAATTTGCTAATCAATGAATATAGATTAACTTATTTTTCCTCGAATTGTGAAAATGAAAAACAAAAAAAAAACAAATATTCTTAAATATACTTTGTTTTTTTACATGTATTGTTTATCTGACATGAGATTTTAAATTACAATAGGTTTAATGTCTAATTTAATATCTATTTGCTTGTATAATTTAGCCATTTGTTTTCGTTTTTCGACTTGTGTCGAATCATGATATGTAAATACCTAAATAAAATTTTTTGTTTTTTTTTTGTTTCATATTTCAAAGAAGAAAACAAAAGAATATTTACTAGATAAAGATAAGTTAATTTTAAATAAAGAGTTTCATGAAAACAAGTAAATATATCTTTGGCCATAAGCAGCAAATGTTCCGCTTCAGATAGATCTAAAAAATATATTTTATAAATCGAATTGAGAAAATATTCTTGAACATGATGAATAGAGAATTATTAACAATAGAAGAATTTCTCAAGAGCTATGACTTCTATCAAAAAAAAATGAATAAATTTCTAGTTAATATTTTGATTCCGGAAAGTTTCTATCTATGTTGAAAATTCTATGATCAATTGTTGAATTCTAACTTACAATTAGGATATGCTCGATCTTCAGCCATTTCTAATAGATACAATCGACCAAGTAATAATGCACATCGACCAACATTATATCGATCACCATATTTTAAAAGTTCAGTAAGACAATAATTAAGTATTCGTATAGATTCTTGTGATGTTGTGAAATTTGACTATTATAAAAACAAACGAATAAAAAAACATCAAAGCTTTCATAAAAAGAAATTTTATTAGATAATATATACTTTATTTAATTGTACTTCATATAAACGACAAAGAATTAAGTAATGTTGAAGATTATATTTAATACATAATTGTTTACATTCTTCAAGAAATCCAAGACTTGGTACAAGATCATTTTTTTTTGCACAATTGTCAGTTAATAATAATAAAAGTCTTTAAGAAAAATGAATTTAATTAATTAAAAATTTTATTTTGAAATTGTTTTTACTTTATTCTTGATATAACATCAGATACTTTTTCTTGATTTAATAATTTTTGTAATTCTATTGGATCTCGTTGACTATCATCAAGTTCATTTAAATTATGTAAACATATTGCTCGACTAATTATTATTAATAAATAATTACTTATATAGAATTTAAAAATCATCTTTACCGTATTTCATATTCAATTTGTGAATAATTTGAAAATGTTTTAGCTGTAATTAATGCTCTATCCCATTCGTTTCGTCGACATTGAAGTATAAATTGAACATCTGCTCGAGCCATATCAATTAAATTATGTGCATTTGTTGATAATTGTACTAAATCAATACTTTTATTTAACATTTGACTAGCAAGATTATATTGTCCCTTTTTTTTTGTTTAAAAATAAAAACTAAATAAAAATTTATATATTTTGTTTTTTAAATTATACTTGATTTAGTATAGCCATTGATAGATATGAGCATGCTAAAGCATAATAATCTGTATGACGAAGATGTAAATGTTCACTATTATCAAGAACCATTGAAGAATAAAGTAAAACAAAATCACTAAATAAAAAAATTAAATTATAAGTTAGGGATATTTTTTTTTCTTTTACTTGTATTGTGCTAAATTCCAAAAAGCTGTTTTATTTAAATAATGTATAGCAGCACGATTAATCCAATTAAAACGTGATTTAACATCAGTTCGTTCAAAATCAATATCAATTCGTTGTCTAGAAGAATTTATTATATTTTTCTTTAATTTAAAAAGAATAATAGAAATATAAACATACAATACAGCTGGAAGATTTCCTCGACTCATTAATTGTACTGATGGCCAACTTTCGACACATACACAATCATCCTATTCAATATAATTGATTTGGCTTTTTTTATTTTTATTTTTGTTAAATAAATTTTACCGTAGTTAATAATCCAACGGATGGATTATCAAGTTGTTTGAGATATCGATTATCGAGTAATAAAAGATTATCAACTTTTTGTGAAGCACTTAATGTTGAAGCAATTAATTGATCCTAAAGAAAATGAATTTCATTTAGAAAATGACACAAACGTAATGATAGTACTAGAGACAATTAATGTGATTCTCCAATGAATAAGAAGTAGAAAAAAAATGGTAATCAGCCAATTTACTTTGCATTCTTCCAATAGATTAAAAATATAGAACTTACAGGCCGACGATTATTAAGACTATCCGAACCTTTCCCAAACAGATAATTTTTAGATTTTTGCTTTTTTCGACTTCATATACACTTTGATTTATTCTCTATCTAGTGGAACATATTTCAAGAATTGATGTATATTTATGAAAGTCAGAAAAGATAAAACATTTTTACTGAAAACCATCAAAATTTACACTTTATTTCGCTTCTTTTTGAAGAATGAGTTTTTTAACAAAATAAAACCTTGAGAATCATCTTCCTTTCACAATCAACGTACATGAGATCAAGCTAAAACATTCTTCTATTTATACTAAAAAATGTTTAGGGTGTCTACATTTTTTATTTCAAAAAATAGAAAATACCGCTGGTTTTATTCCAGAACTTATAAAAATAGCTCATTTTAAACAAAAAAGCATGTATTTTTGAAGGTACTCTTATGATTTCGGTGTTTTTATTCGAACGGAAGGAGATAAAAAGATAACAAGAAAAAAGTAGGTCAGCCAAATAATGTGCAGTATCTGTAAAACAAAATGTCCAGCTCTATGAAACTGAGAAAGGGTGGGGTATTTTTCGCCCTTGCAATCTGAATATCTCCTACAGGAAAGCATCAGGCAATTTTGTGTCTATGGCGACTTTTGTTGTACTCATTGCGATCTATAGACTCAGAATGTTTCAAAATTTTCTGATGAGCCGCTCTTTAAAGATGTCGCTGAGGAAGGACGAAGTTCCTTCATTAAAAAATAATTAATGAACGATAGATGTTACAAGAAACCATTTCTACTTCTCAAGTATTTATAAGGTTGGAGTTTTTAGTTTTGTTGTTGTACAAATGTAAATACAAGTTCTCTATGTATTACATTAACAAAAGAGGAAAATCATCATTTCAATGTCGGTCTAATGATGAGAAGTTTCAAAATATCTCATTTTACAAGTTTCTTTCGTCTATCCAAAATACTTAATTTATAAATGTCTGACAACAGAAAAAAAAACATGTTCAACTATCAATGAAACGTGCGATCGTTTTCAGTTGAATAAATCAGCAAAATCAAATGACAAAACAAAACTAATTATTAGCTGTTTGTTTTGTAAATTGGATGATCAAAACCAGTTCAATCACTTGTTAGAGAATTGTCATAGATCTAGAGAGACTGTTCATTACTTTTTTAAACTTACTACACATAATGGCATTATATCTTTTTCTGATCGTAATAAAGACATTGACATTCCATCATTAAGTGCATTTTTCGCATCAATCCTTCAAAATAAAAATAAAAAACAACTTCTAAAACTCTCTTAAGAAGAAAAAAACAGATGCAGAAAATTTTACTTGAAATTATAATGTGATAAGAGTGTTGACATATGTAATGCACCAATATCCGATGTTAATTGAAAACCATTTTGTTTATCAAAATAATGATGTAAATAATAATTAGCTTGAGAATAATTATTTTTTGAACGTGCTTGAAGATAATGAACAAATGGCTATGAAAAGCAAAACAAAAAAAAAATGATGATAATAAATCAATAAATCTACTTACAACTTCAGCTAATTGTGGATAAATTTTTTCAATTGATCGAAGAATTTCTAATTCATAATCATCAACTAATATTCCAGCATCCAAACGTAAGGCCTAAAGTTGTTTTTTTTGAAATTTTATATTAAGAAAACTAAAATGCAAGCAAAAAAAAAATCGTTTACAAGTTTTGTTAACATATATTCAGCTTGTTTAATCGACACAGGTATTGTCATTTCTAATGATGAGCTAAAACAAAAATAATAATTTAGAAATATATCTTCATTGATTAATTTTTACTATTGTTTCGTTTGAATTCGTAATTCTTTAATTGAAATATTTTTTTTAATTTCATTTGTTAATTCAGATTCAGTAATCATTCTATCATCTTTTGGTGGTAATGGACATTTAAATATTGATGATCGAAGATATGAATCAACATATCGACTAACATCATTAACAAGTTGTTCTAAGTTTGGTGTTGATAACATTTCAAATGAACAAATATGACGACGTAGAAACAGACCTATATGTGTAAAATAAAAATTTCAAATTGTTTGTTTTTCAAATTTATTAATCATACCAACAAGGCTCCATCCTTTAATAGTATAATAAATTTTATCTGATTGATGACCTAGTTGATTTTCATTATTGGTAAAATTTGATTCACCACGTTTTTGAATAAATTTTGATAAATCATGAAATAAATCAATTATATCAACTAAGGTTGCCTGTGCTAGTTTAGCAATACTAAAAATTTTATAATTAAATTTTTAAAAAAGAAATAATTTTACGAAAAATAATTTTACCTTTGAGAATATTCAGTAACAATATCATTATCCGGATAAATTTTTACTAAATGTTGAACAAGATTTGGTAATTCCCATTCAAAATTCTATTAAATAAATTAGATTTTTAATATCAATATTATATTTTGATATGTTACTCGTGTGAGAAATAATAATAATGATGGAAGAAGAACATCTTCTATATAAGTAAATTCAGGTGATGTACTTCGTGTTGTTTCTTCTTCTTTCAAAGGTAAATATCGTTGATTCTATTAGTTTATAAATAGATATTAGTATTATTAAGATTTTTTATTTAGTTTATATTTACTAGACGACGTAGAATAGTGCGAAATAATTGAAGAAGAATTATTTTACGCGAAGATAAATGTTCACATAAACGTGCATAGTCAATCAGACGTACTTCATCATGCTGATGATGCAGTCCACGATAATGTACATTGCCATTGGGCACATTTAAATCCATCTGAGACTAGTAAAAAAATATATAGAGATTAACTTTGTTTTTAATAGAAAATGCGAAATGATTAAGTCTACTGATAATCCATGAAGCTTTTGTTCAGACAGAGAGTTACGGTTAAGATAAGCTACATATACACGCTACATATAAAAATGAATGTAACTTATCTTTCTCTTCTTTAACCAATGAGACCACATTCCATGTTATACCTTTTTTTTTCTTTTCCATTTTCGTTCAGCTTGAACTGAATGTCACTAATAGAATAGCGAGCAAGCTGTGTGACTCATAGATATTCATATTTCTGTTAAAAATCAGAAATGAACGAAATTCTACTTTTTTTTTCTTGATCAGATCCGACAATATTATTTCACAAACTAAGATGACCCATTTCGTTTATTTTTCACAATCTTAGTTGTCAAATGAGCTTATTTGACTGAAATGATTAAAGCATTTACTTTATTGAAAAGACTCAGATTTTTTCAATGTCTTCCAAGTCTTTAATAACTTTTATTGTTATGTAGAACGAAGTTCGTTTGCATTATTAAATTAGTTTACTTTTTTTCAAAAGAAAAGTTGAAATATTTAATCTTTTCGATCATTTCTACATTACTTTTGTTTTATGCCAGAATTTAGTTTGCAGTTTTCCTAATATTGAAAGAATGATAGTACAATATCTAAGAGAAAAGATGAATACAGTAGGGTAATTTTAAAAAAAACTGAAAAACAACTCATCTGACTTATAGAATTTATGGCATTTAAACGCTGAATTCGAATTTATTGTATCGAATTATTATTCGAAGCTTTGTTTTATTTTACGAAATAATTTGGTCTCGAGTTTAAAAACAATTTCTGAAACAGACAATAAAGGAAAATCTTGAGACAATATGCCTCGTGAAGATACAAACTAAATGTCTTTTAGTTCAAATATTTTTATTTTATTAAGAAATGTATGTTTATTGCTGCTTTATGTAGAGGCTGGAACCGATAAATGATATTAATTGAGTAGTTTCACATGGTAACTGAGAATACTGTTGAAGTGATAATTCAAATGAACACAAGTTAATTCATTTTAACCAATTTGTTTTTAGTAGTTTTTTAAAATCATATTTGTACAAGGTTTAAAAAATGGCATGTCAAAACATTCAGCTAGCACAATATCGTGCTAAATGATTTCAAACAAATTCACTATGCTTTTAAAAGATTCACCTAAAGATGCTTTTATGTTCGTAGTTAAGTTTTTTGTTTTTCTCTGAATACCAACTGAAATCAAGCAAAAAATTTCTATTTTTACAACGAAATCAGAATATTGACAATAGCATTTCGTAAATGAAAATTTAGATCATGGAATTTGTTTGGACTAACTTCAGTATATACGAAACTTTTATTTATCCCATTCATAATAACTATTTCCAAGGCCTACTATGTATTTTACTTTGACTTTCATTGGTACAGTACAGAATACGTGAAAACCATTAGTATCAAATGACATTAGTGTATGTATTCGGTTTCAGATTAATGAACAATGTTAAAGTTGAAAACCTATCTACCCATATGCATATCTAAATACTAAACCGACAAGAAACGAAAACAAAAACACTTCTTAAAAGAGTCATACACTGAAGTATTTGTTCTAGAATTCGTATAAATGTCTTACAAAGTCAGGAGCAAGATGAAAAATTCTTTTTTTATAGCGATTACTCCTAATTATTGAAACAAGATATTTTTATTTAACTTGTATTGAGTTGTGATTTTTTTAAAATTTCAAATCGAATTCTTAAAAAAATGATAAATTAAGTGTATATCTACGTTCAACATATTGTACAGATCGTAGAAATTATTATATGATTATATAGCAATTAGTGTAAGAACGTGTTAATTAATGTATTTGTAAGACGAAAGCAATCGCCGATTACTGTATATACATATATGTAAGAAAAGCACATAATCATTTCACACAACCTCCCCTTCCTTCTTTCTATCGTCTCCTCAACTTTTAAAAATGTATTTTTTTTGCCAAATTCATTTTTTCGTAACGAAATTGAATACGCTGCAAAATCGAATTTCTCGTCATATGATTGATATTGTATTTTACGAATTAGGTTATTTTTAATTTTTTCACTTCAGACATCATCATCATTAACATCAACAACAACTACAATAAAATCATCATCATCCTCAACAACAACTACAATAACAGCAGCAATAACAACAACAGCAACAGAAGTAATAACATCATCAATACCAACATCAATTTTACTAAAGCAACCTATAGCAATTCATCTATTAAATAATTCTACGAAAGAAAGTGGAAAAAAATATCTTTTTCTTTACGAAATAAAATAATATCTTTTTCTTTTATTTATCCTGAAATAGAAACTGACTCTTGGATCTGTTCGTTATGTATTACTACAATAATGATCTTTGTATTCACATGTGTCATCATCAAATGTTTTCTCATTTTCTTTTTTTTTCTGTCATTTATTTTGTACTTATGAATTGTTCCTGTATTGGATTGAAAAGAATAATAAAAGAATTGAAAGAAACATGAAGAATAAAAATGGGAAAAGGATTAAATATTTTCTGAATTTCTTTTCAATTGTTCAATATAATTCAAATTCATAATTTGTTTTTCGAGTATATCATTAATGCCATGCTATTTAGTTTTTATGTTCGGATTATGCAATAGTCTCGAAGTAATTGCATTTTTACATTTTTTTTTGTTTAATAATGCATTCAAAATTTCTTCGATTGTGACGCATATATTTTTGTATTCTTTTATTTTAATTTCAATCTAAAATGTAACTTATATTTCACGAAACGATTTATGATATTACAGAAAGAATGAGATATGACACTAACCACTATAGACATCTCACGAATTATTTGTCATCTTCATGGAGGAAGAGTGCAACTATATGCAATGGCTTTTTTTTATATGTAGCGTCGATTATATGTAGATTATCTCAACCGAGAGTTACTAAGAAAAAACAGTAGCATTTGACAATAATGGACCAATCGTGAATAATGAATAGAAAGATGTCGGTGATAAACAAATAGATATGATTGCTAAGACACACATATGAATTGTATTTATGTCATATTTTTGTTTTTAAACACATTTCATACTGCCTTGCAATACCACTTACTATGCTAATATTTACATATAGTTTCATTTGTGGCAATGAATATAGAAGGAACGTTTTTCGAAAATGATTCGATCCATATGTATGACTTCGTACAGCAAGTTTGCAGTAGTATGCATCCTTCAACTATTTCTGTTACACATATAGTTCGTCGAAATATCGACAAATGGAAAAAGATAAATTATTTGCAACGTGTCTAAGATGATGAACAAAATATGCATCATTATATACCAATATTTGTTGACAATAAAATGTCTTACATTTATCTGCTCACACATGCTGTAGCTGAAAAAATAGATTAAACCATTTTTGCTACTCTCTGAATTATCTGAAAATACAGAATTGAATCATGGAAAGAATATTTTCATAAAGGAAACGAAGGACCAATTTTTTCAACTCGCCGTATAAACTCTGGCAATGATTGAGAAGTAATCATTTCGCACTTCGGTTTCGGTTACGATTAGTTCTTTTTTTTTAAATTTTCGAGATGATCGTCATACTAGCAATTCTTCTGTAAAGAAGGCACAGTTTATAGCAGAATTTTATATTATTATTTAAATAATCGCGTCATCTTCACTATTTTATGTAGTTTTAAACGTCATTTTACTTCGCATTATATATCCCAATTTATTTTGGATTTTAACAAATATTATCAGAATTAAAAACCTTAAGTTAATATTTGTTCTTCAACATGCATTCTATCTTATGGTTCTATGAAATCTTTATATAAATTCAATTCTGAAGTATTGTATCTTGTTTGGTTGCAAAAATAACCTTCCAGATTTCTTTATTCCAATATGTTCCAAAACTAAAAAATCCCAAATTACCTGACATTGAGACTTTTCTGTGTTATTGTTAAAGTTTCTTCGTTTGTTGCACATTTACTCGCTTTTACAATACTACAAAAAAATGCATATGAATCTGATGAATATAACTATAATTAACCAACAATTAACTAAAACGATGCCAACGAAAATAATTGCAATGTGAATAAAATGTAACGCAGCAAAACTTCATTAATCTATGTAGCAGTTTTTTGTCGGACAACCAACAAAAGGATCGTGCTGGAAACAAACAAATATTACTTCTAAATTTATAATATAAAATTTTTAAGATAATTGAAGAGAAAATGAATTTATTTTATATAGAAGTTTCATCTATAATAAGAATAATCGATAATATCTGTAAACTTAACTTATTTAAAGCTTTCCTCACTTCCTCCGGATTAGTTATAGTTTCAAACGACCTAACTGTATCGATAATCTCCTATTCTCTAACGAGATTTGATTTTTAATGCAAGTTTAAGATTTAATTTATATCCTTCAAATCATCTAGGTATTGTAAATATCGATACAAGCAACGTTTTCTTCACTAGAAACGTGTCAAAATCTTGTAATGTTCTTTTGGAAATTTAGCTTTACTAATGCTAGTTACGTTAGTTGACTTAGCCAAATCAACTCATGTGAGATGGATTGTGGGTACGGGTAGATGAGATTAAGAAAATTTTTATCCACATCGATGCTCACATACTTATTTTCACCCGATTTGATAGTGGGATTTTATTAGAATAAAATTTGATGTGTTGCACACGTTAATCAACTTTTTCTAGACATGCATCTATTATCATTCTCTTGCTTCTGACTATCCTTCAATATTTTTAGCAGCTTCATATAATTCATGATAAAATACGTTTTTTAACGATTACTGTTTGAGACCCAATGAGAAAAAAGCACTTTCAAGGTGTATTGTACTGTGCCGTGCATCAACAAATTTGTTCGCTCGACTAGTGTTCGCCAACGAATAGGTTGCACATGTTTTTTTTTCTTTTTTCTACTCATTTATTTTTGCTATTATGATTATTGTAAGAAATTGAAACAACAATTCTGTGTTTTTTTCTCATTATTTACAAAATAATTCAGATGATTGGTAGTTTTTGTTTTAGTTGCCCTTATATGTAACTGAAATAGAAATAACAACACGATTCATAGATTCAATAATATTGTGTCTCTGATAGCGTGCAGACGATAAAAATCCAAATTCGATTCCATCTGGCAGTGTGAGCTTCAATCTTCAAAATATGTAATACACATATTCTAGTAGTATAGAAAATAAGAGTATGGGGTATGAGCAGGGTCTTAGTGTGAGGGTCTCCTCTTGAGCCACACTTACGGTCACACCCATATCCCTCAAACGAAAGGGACAGTTGGATAGAGACACAGCGAAGAAAAACTTGCACCCTAAAACCATCAATAATCAACAGATAGACATTGTTATTAAACCTCATTGGAAACCTTTAGGTATAATACATAGAACCACGAACAATGTTTTATTCGAAGATAAGTTATTAAACAAGAACGCATTGAATCGAAAAAAGTCGTTTCTTTTTTTTTCAAAACAAAATGGCAAAATTTTAATATTGATAACAATCAGCGTCGATTATAGTGTAAATTTATAAACATCAAATAATGATTTCCGTAGGACAGAAGCTATAGAAATGCTCAAGGTTCGTTGTAAAATCGCTGTAATAGTGCTAAAGAACTAAATTTTAGAGTCAAAAATAAATCTATTGAAACAAGAAAAGTACGTTCAATGTTTAACCGATTGACAAACATCTAGATCATTTGATATTGGTTGGTGTAAAAGTAATGCATGAATCGACGACGACGCGTGTAATGTGCACCGACAGATAGGCAACCAATGAGTACCATAACCGCAACGGTGACACCAACAATGGCACCTATACTGAATGTATCGTGACGCAAAGGGTTACTAGTAGTGCGATGTCGAGATGTAGTCAATCTCGGCGATGTACTACTGATCATCAAAGATGATGAAGAAGGAATAGATAGATTGTCTTGATTTCGATCATCGCAATAGATGACACCTAAAGACAAAGTTCGATGCTGAATTTCGACTATTTATTCCAATTTTAACTTGGCGAATTTTCATCAAAACTGTTTGACGCTTATCAAATCTTGTGTTACTCATGTGCCGAGCTACTGATCTTAGCTATTGTGAATGAGTTCACCTCTTTGTTTTTAAGCCGTCTGCTCTTTCTCTATGCTACGAATTTTTCCCGTCAATTATCTTTCTTGCTATGCAAGTTTGAGGTCTTAAAAGACATCTATCCGATCAATTAGGTACTGTGTAAAGAGTACAATAGGATGAAGAGAAGAAGCCACATGATAATATTCGAGGGTTTTCTAGCCGAAATCTCCTGTTGTATGACTTAGTCTGACGGCGACAATATCTCCCTTATCAATACTTTTCTTCCTTTCTCTGCTGATAACTTGTTGACAAAACAAAAATGGGTCGATGTTTTATTTGTCGACATTTTTTTTTACGTCGCATCATTCTGATTTGTCAAGTTACTCTAATAGATTCAAATTTACACATCGATACTTATCAAATCAATAGAATCGTTGAAAATCAACTGACATTAAGAAAATCGTTCGTTAATGCAAATCAATTCCAATTCATCCTTGGATAAGAATCATGAGTTAAGAAGAAAATAGCCATTTGATCAATTTGAAAAGTGAAAGAATACACAGAATACACCATCAACACCCTCTATCGTTAAAACAAACTTGAAGAGTCAAGTGCATTGTCAATGTCAATAACGTGAACAATGGCTGAGTTACATTACAGTCATCAATATTGTGTTTGGCATTTTCTCATTTTCTTTCTTGACAATCACCAGTCACCGAATGGCTTCGGAGAAAAATTCAATCAAAGACGATTGCATCCATCACACCGATGTGAACGAATCTCAGCTTCAAGAAAATCTTCGACGTCAATCGAATTCGTCCAGCACTGTTCAAGACAAAAATGAACCACGCTATGTCGACATCAAATTCGTGCCACGAACTCGTCCACAATCGAATACAAGTGTCGCTACGACTGCGAACCCGAATTCGGACTATCTAACAATCAGCAGTCATTTACGCAGTAGTATCTGCTTCGGCTATCCTGTGTTACGTGGTAGCCATACGAAAATCGTCCACAATGCTCAAATATTCAAACAGCATTTTGAAATGGTGGCCTTGGAACAACAAAGACATCCGCATTCGTTTCGTCGCAAAAAAGATTGGCTCGGTCGATGGACCGAAGCGAACATCGTTCGCGATCGTCTCTTAAAAGAAATGATTGCTGCTCAAAAGAAGACTTCCGCTCCTAGTGCACCTAAATGAAAATCCCAAACTGTATTCATATACTTTCAAATAGACTACACCGAAACAGTTAAAACATTAGGACTTAACCTAAGGACAGAACGAAAATGAACGCGCAAAGATATCAAGGTAGATAGAGAGAGTAATGAACAAAATAAAAACAAAATGATCGATTGAAGAATAACATGAATAATGAGAACAGGTAGTGAACAATAAAGAAAGAGCAATGGCTCGAATAAATGAATACTGCCGTGTGGTGTAAAAAGCCGGCGAGACTGTTCGAAGGGATTTCTTGTTGTTGACAGACGATCCAAGCTTTAGAAATCCTTCGATCGAAGTCAAATTCGGTTCTTTCTTCTTCGATGCACGCGTCAGCAGCCAGCTCGATCGCCACCAACAATTGCTCTTGCAATGCTTCACAATGTCAGCAGCATTTCAAGAGAGGCTGAAGCTTCGGCGTAAGTCTCGACTGGCGGCGCTGGTTCTTTTCGCCCTTGTTGATTGAGTCAGTAGATTTTTAAAGCCGGTTATTTGCTTTCCTGATGTTGCTTTTATCGTATGCGTATCGTTCTATACGCTTAGTTTACCGCTCGCAGCTGTCTTCACATAGCGATGGATTTTCGCCATCGGCGAACGACTTTTATGTTGAATTTTTATTGTGAATGACAAACGCAGTGTTTGATTCATCCCACGAGACAATGTTCGAATGAATGACTTGAGTTCGATCGATAATGCGTGTAAATTTGATTGTAGGTCATTTTAGTGTCGAGATCCTCGTCGTCACGATTGAAATCAATACTCTTGTTTTCTTTACATAGCGTGGTAGACATTGTAGTTCAACACAAGACAATCCGATCGGATGTCGACTGTTTGTGAGAAAAAAACGCAGTCGTTTACAGAAGTGTTTAAGTAGTTCTTCATTGCCGGTTAACAAACTAGAATTTTTAGTATGTTTTTTTTCGATTTTTCAACCTTCGTGAAGGAATTGTCAAGATCGTCGCTCGTCATTGTTCCATGGTCTGCGTGTTTTTTCTCTTCTGAAAATCGATCGATTACTAATTTGTCAGGCATGAGATCAGGAGAGATGAGTTAAACGAAAAGTAAAACAAGACTAAAAGTGCGAAGAAATCGTTCGATGGTTCTTGCTTTCTAGGATGGATGTGCGGGTGGATATGGCATGCGAGTGTTGGATGTGGCTGTGGGTGTGGATGTTGGAATGAGTGTATGTGTGAATGTGAGATGGGAAATGATTTTCTCTACACTCACCCACCCACACTCTCACATAGGGAGAGAAAGATTGAAGTATTTCACTATCCTATACATGCTCATTAATTTTAAGTAATCTATTTCAAGTCATAAGGACTCAAATTGTAATATATCTCAAGAAAAGATATACTCCCTGTCTAATCCATGGAAACTGTCTTATAGATAAAAATCACAGTAACCTTGACAACATATCTGGTTACTAATTTGCTTTCTGTTAGATCATTATGACGGCTTAATCAACCACATCATTTGACATATTCATCTCTCTGATAAGAATGACCATGATACCAAAGACATGAATAAATCGATCCTTCTTGGTTGATCAGTATCAGTGTAAGGTGATACTGTGGAAAGTTCCAATGGAATCCTATTGGCAACTGTGAGCTCCCAAAATAAATAATCTTGTTGTTGGATTCTGATCAGTTTGCATTGTATTTCGTCAGAATATGACTAAATCCAATGGGATCAAGTCGGACGTAGTTGGACTCAACTATCACAGTCTGACAGTAGAGATTTCAACAATACTTGCAACAAGCTTTGGCAAAATCATAAGAATCAAACAAGATCTGAGTGAGCTACTTCGATGTGAGCTTTTCAGAGAAATCGGACGTTGACGGTAGAGCACCGATATCAGAAATTGATGAAATCTCGTTGGATCCATTCAAAAAATTTTTCGATTCAATCCGAGCAGAATTGAATGCTGTCTGGTGACTTCTGGTGATGGATATGGTTAGATCCGACTATTAGAAATAGTCGGAAGGCCAGACCTGTGTTATTGATGGTAGGAAATCTTCATTTAGTTATTCATCAAATAATTCATTACATTAGAATTGCACTGATGTGTCGAATGCAACAATGAACAATTATCGTGCATAGATACATCAACGTGATAATGCTGATTCATTTAAAAGAGTTTTCTTTCCGGTGTTTTTTCATAAATTTGAATTGTTCTGGAGTTATCTCTCACATATACTCAAATAACCAAAATCATAGATGTTCGGTAACTATTCTAATTGAAAACAAGGTTTGATAAATATGAATTTCTTACATCAACAACGAAGTCAAGGAAAACAGAAATAGACGATCGTCAAAATTTGACCTTGACCTTTCAATGAAATCGGTGTCAGATTTTTCTTTTCGATTTTATTTATTGAAAAAGAAAAATCAGAAAATGAAAAGCTTTAATTTATCAATTGGCTCTTCTGCCAACAGTTCGACGCAGATAACCATCGATAACGATTTCCTTCGTTTGTGGAAGTAAAGCATAGGATCCATCGGGTTTCACTGGATTGAACGTTCCTTTGGCTTGTTCTTTGGCAATCTCTTTGGCAAGAGCCTCAAATATATCCGTTGTATATACTTTGTCGTGATTTTTCGACATCATATCTGTGATTAGTTGAAGTAAATTTTTGACAGCCTCATTTTTCTGCTGTTCCGTTCCCTTATTGTTAAACAATAAATAACGTTGACTGCATTGTTCCAGAAGTTTTCTCAGTGGAGCCTTTTTTGGTAACTGTGATAGATAGTTATCTACTGTGTTTTCTTCCTCCTCAAATTCATCACCACGAGTGAAAACAATGATCGTATGGTTAATCGCATTTGGACCGAAGATTTTGCTAAGATACTCAGTTGCTTGATCTTCTTCTTCTGTCCTTCTTGCCGGGTTCAGTACAAGTAAGAAAACATGTGGTCCAGGAAACGCCGTTAATTGATATGATTTACCAACTTCTTCCTGAATTGCTGCCTCTGTTATAGTGGGATCAAGAAATCCGGGTGTATCAACAACAAATAACCTTTTCTGTTCAAAGTCTCGAGTGGCAGAACCACATTGCTTTGTGACACCATTTGGATTTAATTTTGCCTCAAAAAGTTTTGCTCCAAGAATAGTGTTACCGACTGAACTTTTACCTTCAAAAAATGAGCAAATCATCAAAGTATTTTAGATCATTTCAAGGTGTCTTTTTTACCTGCGCCAGTTTTACCAAGTAAAATCATACGAATTTCATTATCTACTCCTGTTGCCTGAGCTTTTATTTGAGTTGTACTGGCCATCTTTTATCTACAATATTCCAATCATTTGCAAACCATATACAAACCAATATTTCACTGTAAGAAATCAAAGTATATGAGATATATAAATAAGAAGATTTGCCCACAAAACCAGAGCTTTTGGTTGATGTCTGGTAGGTAGAGGACACACTTAATATACACTTCATGTGTCTTGATCATTTCAGAATTGAATGATCTACACTAACGAATGAAACGTCTAGTATGTGTCTTCTCAAGGTATTTCAGTTGATCTGACGAGAGAAGTTCCCCATGTAATCAATCGCTTTTCCGTAGAAATAGACATGGTTGTATACAGTTCACTGTGCTAATTTCGAATATCAGGGTCCTAGCGGCTTTTAGGCCTTTCTAGATTCTGAGGCATTACTTTGAATCCCCTTCTGATAAGGGTGTTTCTCATCCAATTCAATCTTTTAATTATTTTATCATGTACCACAAGACAAAATATCCATGGAATACTTTTTTATAGATACTTCAACGTTAAGTTTCAAATATAAAGCTATAAAGCAGAGAAGTAATTCGTACATTGACTACAAACAGTCATCTGACATTTCTTTTCGTTTCATTATCATGCATTCACAAATTAATCATAATTGTACTATATTCAGTAAAGTATATATCAATGGAAGAAATAGAAAACATATATGCTAATTTCTCAAAATATAAAACATTGAAACCTTGAGGATAGATTTCCAAAGCTAGCGGTAAATTGAGCGAGACTACGTAATGTAATAGGTAAGATAAAATGATTTCTTTATTCTTCATTATGTGAAAAATATTAACCCCAAAAGGGCATTTTTGGATATTTAGTCTTTTTCTGTCTTATGGTCCATCTTAGTATTTGAAACTTAAGGTTGAAGTACCTATAAAAAAGTATTCCATGGATATTTTGTCTTATGGTACACGATAGATTAATTAAAAGATTGAATTGGATGAGAAACACCCTTATCAGAAGGAGATTCAAAGTAATATCACAGAATCTAGAAAGGCCTAAGAGCCGCTAAGACTTTGATATTCGGAATCAGCGCAACGAACTGCATACAGTCATGTATGTTTCTACGGAAAAGCGATTAATCACTTGGAAAATTTTCCTTATAAGACCGATATCTTCTAGACATAAAAGAATTCAAAATTAAAAAAGAATTTTTGTTAAAAGTTTTAGAAGAAAAACCTAGATTTATATTTATGAAAATCAAATATTTGCAAATGTAATTTGACTAGTAAAAAGAAAAATCTATTTTTAAAAACAAAACATTTTTTCCAAAAAGTTTCATACTTTTTTAATGATTATTCGGTAAAAACTAATCCTAAGAAAATCACGATTGTTTTCGACGAACAGCGTACAAATCTCATTTTTTATACGAAAACACCACTTTTTTCCAATATCATTCGATTGAAATCGATTAGAATTCCTAAATCGATTGAAAAGAAATCTATTACACCGATTATTATTGATTATTTCACTTATAATCCGATTTTCATCAAAAATCGATTTTAACGTTGTCAATCGATTATAGAGGAGTTGGTAAATATCAGTAGAATGTCTACAGAAGCAAATTATTTGGATAAACAGAAGGGATATGTGTACGTAGGTATTGGTATCGGGTTTGTGTGAATGAGGTACAGAATACCTTTACCCATATTCATACTATCTCAGATCCGAACCCGAGTCTAATGAACAGAAAGTTTCTAGAGTCAAGTCGACAGAATGCGGATCTTGGAACAACCAGACGGGATCTAAGAGGGAAAAGCTTGCATTTAGATGATAAATCAAATGCCCATCTCAGTTTTTGATATACCTTATAACGCAAACAAGTGTAAGCTATCTGTTTCCTCTCTATTGTTTTTTATGAACTGTACATTATTGAAAGCGAGTCTTCAGAACGAGATAAAGGTGGACTATAAATGGTTTCAATAGTGTATAGTTATGCTTCTCTTATTTTCGGTATATTACAAAATCAAACTATATTTAACAAGATTAATCGATTTCTGATGTTATAATTACACCATCTTAATTTGAAATAGTTTATATAGCAGTTCCAACTTAAATGTATTTGATAGACTGCAGCTTAGTGGCAACTTCATGGTCACTAAGCAGGAGGAATCCAAAAAAATCATAAAAAATTGTCGTATTGCGTTCGAATCTCGAGAAAGGCGCTGATCTTCGGTGTGTGTAATTAACAGCAGTTGACAAGTAATAATAGATTAAAATTGATTGGCAGGTAATAAGAGTTGCATAGAATTAGAATAGATGATTCCCACGTAAAATAAAAGATGGAAAAAATCTGATTTTTTCGTCTGTTTATTTTTTTTAAACCGGAAGGTCTCTATTTAGTTTTGTTTCATTTTATTGTTTACAAGCCAATATAACAGTATAAGAAAAACGATCAAAATCGGACTTAAGTCAATTAAATGAGGATTTTCATTCTGATTATTGTGAGCCAAAATCCAAATTATAATCGATTAGAATCAGATTTCTTAATTGATTGAAATTCTTCTAATTAATTAATATTTTTCTCATGGATTATAATCGATTATAATTTTGATTTTGTTTCAGAATAATCGGATTATTGATTTCGATTATACCCATAGAATTTTGAAATTTTAATCGATTTTAACCGCTAAAATTTTCCACTGACAAGTGGACACTATAAATCTAAGCAAAATGGAAAGAAAAAGAATTTCTTATTTTCCAGAACCAAACTGCTTATTTTCCTATTAATGACCGAAACACATGAAATGCATCGCGAATAAATAGAACGAGCTAGTGATGAAAATATTTTCTACAAGATGAAAAGCGGAACAATATCCATAGTCATCTACAATAAGATGAATCAATAAAGGTAATAAATGATTAAAAACAGAATTATTTCCAATTGGAAAATGAAGAGCAACATCTAGATTTTAAAATAGAACTTACTCACTTAAACTGCCTACAATAAATGACATTAACTCTACTTTTTAATAAATAAAACACACAAAAAGAATGATCATGATAGAATAAAATAAAGAAATGTATTGTAATCTAAACAAAGGAATTTGTGGCAATGAAATATTGCTAAGAAAAATAAATAAATGAAACTAAAAGTATTCTTAGAGTTGGTTAACGTGACTAACCAGTAATATGTGCGAGAATTCACATTTCAAGAGAGGGTGCTAGTTTCTTTTTTTATTTGACCAACAGCATGCAATTACTGTTTATTCTGCTAGGTGTATAAAGTACAGGTTTACATCATTCTCACAGTTATCATACTACTAATAACAATTTTGCTGATGTTACTTGTAATACTACTAGAGGATCATTCATCTGTCTAACAAAGGAATCAGTGAATATTGAACTGATATGATAATTCAAACTCGTTAGTATTTACTAGATTCAAACATCTAAAAAATAAGGCGCATTTTCTGTCTAAATTAGACGATAGAATGACGTATTGTCTTGTAAGACGGATGGCATTTTTCACAATATTTACTTCGTTGAAATCATCTTTTCCCATTACTATGATTAAGAGAACTACTTGTTTGCTTCACGATCCATAATGTTTCAATTCAAATGACTGATAATATCGATTGAACGACACATCATGTGTTTCAATGACGATTCTCTTATCTCTGTTCATTGAACGAGTGAAGAGTCCAATTTTTTGTCTCCAAGATTCTTCGTGTCTAATAGATGGCGCTACTGTATTTTTCAACTATTTGTAAGGGTTCCAAACGACACCAACTAACTTTACGAAATGGCAACCGAATTGTAGAATGCGACGACCGACAACGACTTCATCATTGAAGTAACGTGAGTGAAATATGTTGAAAATAAAACACCAATCTCAATACGAGTATGAAGAAAATATATATGATTTTTCGCATCTTTCTCTAACCGTTAAATCATTTTTTCATCAGTGATTGTTGTGCGTCACATTTATGGCTTGTGATTCTCTAGCAAGTGACACATCTACACCAAAAACAACCAAGAGAAAACGTTTGACATCACCTGAATGTATCATGCCCTCCACGTCATATCTTGGTCTTATCAAAAATTCAAATTCAATACCAAAGAGTCTGCAAAAAATCAACAGTATTCTAGATCGTTAATATGTAAATTCTATCGGTTTAAGAATTATAAACAGTAGGTCGATTATCAGTGCAAAGATCATGATCACTACGAACTGATTCATTCTGGCAGTCTCCTCAATTTACTGAAACAAACGACTTGCACCAAATACCAACGCATATGAAATGAAAATATTTTATGTTTCAAAAGAGAAGATGAAATCGGCTTTTATTATATGTCTCAGGATTAGATCTCAATTCAGGATTGGATCATGTCACATGATCGAAATCGATAATATTACGTACTTGGCTTGTTTTTTGTGTCTGAATTTAAATTATTCGGATAATGACGATTGTTTTTCGATTTTAACAATGAACACAACAGAAAATCTTAATAAAGTCAAGCACTTTGCTCTACTTTATTTTTGTCTTCACTGAATATATTTGCATGTTTTTCTTTAGCATTCATGTGTTCATTATGGCAATACGGATCTACTTAGGGCAATCCAAAAGTAGTAGCAGTAGTACTTTAGTTCCTTATAAAAAGTTTGAAGAAAGTTTATTTCTATATAGTTTGATAGAGACAAGAATGCTCTATTTTTCTGTGGTGTTGGATCATACTTGAACTAATATCATAATAATAAAATTTCGATAAAATCTGTTTTGTTCGCATGTATCATGGTTACATCATTGCTAGTGAGTATCTTTTACATAACTTTTGATAGAAACAACATAGAGAAGTGCGGTTTTCACCATTGGAAAGAGGAGATAAAAATGCATCGAATTGTATATTATAGATTTTTCTAATATTGATTCCTAAAGTATTTTTATTCAATTTTCTAACTGTTGGAAAAAAAATTTTTTATGAAAAAAGCACAAAAGTGAGCTATTTTCACACACTTTTTTAGAAAATCTTATTAGAGGCTCGATCAGAA